TACAAAATCTTCTCCAAGGTGCTGGCAAACCGTTTCAAGACAGCGCTGGGTCAGCTGATCCTGCCGGAACAGTCGTATTGTATCCCCGGCCGGTGCATATACGACAACATCGGTACGGTCAGAGACATAATCTCCCTTGCAGAAGCGCACAACATGGACTTAGGCCTCCTCTTCTTGGATCAAGAGAAGGCCTTTGGCAGGGTGAGCCACGAGTACTTGGACAAACTCCTAACGTCGCTCGGTTTCGGCCAGGCCTTCATCTCGCACGTCAGGCTCCTGTACACGGGCACATCCAGCCTGTTGAAGATAAACCAGCGGCTCGGCACCCCGTTCCCTGTGTCGAGGGGGGTCAGACAGGGATGCCCCCCTCTCGGGGCTGCTGTACACCCTGTCCATTGAGCCACTGCTACGCCACCTGAGACGAAATCTGTCTGGCTTCAAAGTCCCGGGACCTGAGAACACAGTCGTCAAACTCTCGGCTTACGCAGACGACATATGCGTCGTCCTCAACGGCGCACATGACGTATCCACGCTCTGCCAGGCGGTTGCAGTGTACGAGAGGGCCTCCTCCGCCAGGGTCAACTGGCCCAAGTGCGAGGCCCTGTGTTTAGGGCCGCAAAGCGGAATTCGCTCTGTGCTCCTCCCAGGAGGAGTCATTTGGCGGGACGATGGAGTCAAGTACCTGGGGGTTTACCTGGGGAAACCACATGTTGCTCTGAACATCTGGACCGAGCTAGCCGACACAATCGAAGCTAAATTACTGACATGGGCACGCCTCGCGCCGCAGATGTCATTCAGGGGACGAGTGCTTGTCGCTAACACCCTGGCTGCATCCGTGCTGTGGCACAAGGCCAAGGCCCTCCAGCCTCCTGCTTGGCTACTCACCAGAGTCAACCGCTCACTGGCTCACTTGGTCTGGCACGGGAAGCACTGGCTCAGGCCAGACGTTCTCTGTCTGCCGGTGAGCGAGGGCGGCCAGCGTCTGGTGGACGTCGCCGCCAGGATCATGAGTTTCAGGATCATGGCTGTCAGACGGCTGCTGTACGACCGGGAGGAGCTACCCTGGAAGTCGCCGGCCCTCGCCCTGCTGAGAAATGCAGGGGGGTGCCTGGGGTAAGGAAAGGAGCTTTTCCTGATGGACCTGAGCCTGGTCGACTACACGAGGCTGCCAAGTTATCACCAGAGCCTCTTGGACGCGTGGCGGAGCTTCGAGTGGAGCAGAACACGCGCGCCCTACAACCTCGCGCAGTTCCTGAACGAGCCCTTGTTCTGCAACAACCTTTTCCAGGGAATCAGAGGAGAGAAGACCCTGGCTCTACGCCTCACATCAGCAGGGCTGCGAAAAGTCTTCCACCTCGTGCAGACCCACCAGCCCAAGTGGAAGACCGCAGCTGAGATCGCCAACACCGCAGGGCTCCGCTCCATGCTCGCTGGGGAGAAGCTGCTGCGCAACGTACTCCACGCCATAAAGGAGCTGCACCTTAAACTGGAAGCACCGGGGGATGGTGGCGGCCCTCCCCCGCCCTCCTCTTTCCCAGAGTTATGTTTCTCCTGCACCAAGCCCCCTGGCCACGGCGACTCCCGACAAGCTCCTGAAGCTCCGAGGCTGCAGCAACGTGCCCCTCAAGAGTGCCCCAAACACAGCGCTCTACACGTGCTGCGTAAAGGCGCTGCATTCCCGGGACCTGGCCGACCTACCGGACACAAAATGGAGAGACCATTTCTCTCCCCTCATTGCAGCCGCCCCTCAGTGGAAACTAATGTACAAGTCTCCCGTAGCCAAACGCTGCGGTGACCTCCAGTGGAGGTTGGCACACTGCACGTTGCCATCGGCCGTGTGGCTCAGCCGAATCTCGCCAGGGGTAACAGACTTGTGCATTTCCTGCGGTGCCAGGGAGGATCTGCCGCACCAATACTTACACTGCCAGCGGCTCAAACCAATGTTCCGCCTTTTGGGGGACATCTTCAGGAAACTGGGGGTGCCCTTCTACAACAGCAGCTTCGTATATGGGGTGCCTTACCTGGCAAACAAGCGCCATGACTTCGCCTGCGCGCAAGCGAAGATGGCGGTGTACAGAACGAGGAAAAAGATGCTGGAGGGTGATACTGACGGCTGCTCTGTACTTCCAGTGTTCAGAGGCCTGCTTAAGGCGCGGCTCCGCCTGGAGCACGCGTACCACACACACGTTGGTGATGTGCGCGTATTCTTCGAACGCTGGGGAGCCGGAAAGGCCCTCTGCACCGGCGTGGACGGCACCCTCGTGTTCACCTTCTGAAGCGCTCGCTCGTCACCGTGGCGTGCGCGATGACACCACAACCACGTGACTTTTTGTGTTGTTTGCGGTGCTTTCAGCACCACAGCGCGTGGATTTGTAACGATATGTAACGTTTGTTTTCTTTCGTTTGCTGGTGACTGTATTTCATATTGAAATCGCCTCCGGTGCTTTTGCTGCTGGCGGCAATAAAAGTTGTTTAAAAGTCAAAAGTCTCTCCCCTATCTCTGCCCCCTCTCTCTCCCCCCTGTATCTTCCCCTCTCTCTCCACCTATCTCTGCCCCTTCTCTCTCCCTGTCTCTCCCCCTGTCTCTTCCCCCTATCTCTGCCCCTTCTCTCTATCCATGCTCCGCCCCCTCTCTTTCCCCCTTTTTCTTCTACATTAGCATTGCCTGCCCCCCCCCCCCCCCCCCCCCCCATACTGCTGACACACTTGGACTGCGCCGCTCGCTGCTAAGGGCTGGCTCCACGGCTCTTATGCCCCACCCACTCACAGCTTTGGCTCGTCCACTCAGGCTGCCCCGCAGCACTTGTCCCCACTCCTTCTGATACTTGAGCTACGCCCATTTCAAGCCTTTATAAACAGTTGCAGTTGGCGGTTTGCTGCCCATTTTTCTCTGCCTGATGACGATCGAAACGTCGTGAGTTTTAGGTTTTTATGAAATTTAGTAATTTATAATTTTTATTATTTTATATCTACGTGACTTTACCGAAAGAACAAAAGAATAGCAATAACCATACATAAAATGTTTTTTGGGTTAGATCGCGTAAATATATAAATGTGTCTTTAAAACTTGCCACCACCCGACACAGCCAACTAGTAAGGGTTGTCACGTAAACAGAACATGCCAATTCGTCACTAGTACAGCACACCGGTGTGTTGGAGAGCCAAGCCACAACATTTACAATCTGATCTTAATTTGGAGCTTTCGTGACTGCAGGAATTACTCTTTGGTTCTTTCGGTAAAGTCACGTATAAAGAAAAAATAATAAATTAAATAATAGCATACGACATTTCGATTGCAACACAAGCAATCATCATCAGGTATAAATGAAATAGAAACAAAAATCTAACCAGAAACATATAGACAGACATATAAGCAGATAGATATCACAGAGATACATAGAGAGAGAACACACATAGGCACAAAGAGAAAGAACGTCTCTGTGACGAGGCCTTAAATAGAGAGAGGGGGCGGGGGCAGAGAGAGAGGGAGGGGTTAGAGAAAATTAGCATGTCAATGAGTTGCACGACTAGTGGTAAGGTGAAAAAGTACACTAAATCAAATAAAACCTAGCAACATTTCGAAGCTTAATGCAATGCAACACAGAGGTTTCGGTCAACACACAATTAACGCATAGCCTGGTTGATTATGATCTTCCAAAAATTGCTAAATTAGAAGTTAAGTGTGAAATTTTAAAGACAAAAAACACGAAGATCGATACACAAGCAGAGAGAGAAAACAAAAAACCCAGAAAGAGACAAAAGACAAACTTAAAACTTCCCCGTAGAAGTGGTTCAATCTTAATTTGGAGCTTTCGTGAGTGCAGGAATTACTCTTTGGTTCTTTCGGTAAAGTCACGTATAAAGATAAAATAATAAATTAAATAATAGCATACGACGTTTCGATTGCAACACAAGCAATTATCATCAGGTATAAATGAAATAGAAACAAAAATCTAACCAGAAACATAGACAGACATATAAGCAGACAGATATCACAGATACATAGAGAACACACATAGGCACAAAGAGAATGAACGTCTCTGTGACGAGGCCTTAAATAGAGAGAGGGGGCGGGGCGGAGAGAGAGGGAGGTGTTAGAGAAAATTAGCATTTCGAAGCTTAATGCAATGCAACACAGAGGGTCGGTCAACACGCAACGCATAGCCTGGTTGTGTGTTGACTGACCCTCTGTGTTGCATTGCATTAAGCTTCGAAATTTTGCTAGGTTTTATTTGATTTAGTGTACTTTTTCACCTTATCACTAGTCGTGCTACTCATTGACATGCTAATTTTCTCTAACCCCTCCCTCTCTGCCCCGCCCCCTCTCTCTATTTAAGGCCTCGTCACAGAGACGTTCTTTCTCTTTGTGCCTATGTGTGTTCTCTCTCTATGTAGCTCTGTGATATCTGTCTGCTTATATGTCTGTTTATATGTTTCTGATTAGATTTTTGTTTCTATTTCATTTATACCTGATGATAATTGCTTGTGTTGCAATCGAAACGTCGTATGCTATTATTTAATTTATTATTTTATCTTTATACGTGACTTTACCGAAAGAACCAAAGAGTAATTTACAATCTAAGTACGACGTTTCGCCAGTAATTTCAACTAGCTTCATCAGGCGACAGCCAGATTTGGCTGTCGCCTGTTAATCCTAAAAAAGCAAAGTCAATTTTAATCCCCCCACATGAGCACATTGAGTACAACGTCCAAATTCACTTCAGGGTGGGTTTTTGGTCGCGGAAATTTTGAATGAAATTCATGGCCAAGGTGCAGGAGAAAAAATGATGGAAAGGTCACAGAATAACGTGAGGCAGTGGCTGTCCCATCTACCCACTCCACGTACGACAAGTTAAAGTGTGTTACATTACAGAATCGTACGTGATGGCGACAACGAGGAGGTTTTTATCCAGCAGTAAATTAGTCAGGCCGATGATGATGATGATAAAAACAAGTAAATGTCATGAGGGAAGAGGTTTGAGAAAATAACGCATACATACCGGAGTGCTGGTATAATCCACCGATAATCCACTTGTGTTTGATATGGAAAAGGCAACGGCAATCCAGTGGGAGTTGATTTCAGGGGCAGTGGCTGTGAATGTGATTGTCTTGTCTGGCCTTTAAGAGACGTGCCATACAATCCTTTAATTTAAAAAAATATTTATATTTAAGGAACACGTTTATAAACCAAATATTTAAAGAAACAATAAAAAATGTTGAGAAACGTATTTAAAACGCCAACCATACAATCATGTGGCCCCATTTGAATGATCGCTTAAGATTCACCCAGATTTTGTTCCAATACAATAGACACTGCTACTTGGACCTAAAGAGTTGGTGAAATATAAGCAATGCCCTAACTTCGTTTAACCTCAGTACATGCATTCTGGGGTGCGATACACACAAATAATACTTACCCGAGGACACCATTCTGCCAAAACCAGGTATCCAGAAGTCCATCATTGAGTAAGCGATTTTCCAATTTCCTTGATTTTCCATTATTTACAGGTGGTTTATCTAGGAATGGGGTGCAGATGAGGAAATGTGTGGTTATACAGAACTCATCTAACCGATACCCTAGTACATGCAACTTCTATCTGTGAAATCAAGAGTATGTGAAAACGTCTGTTCTCTACATCCCATTATCCAGGATAATCTGCATTTTTTCCATCCACAATTTCAAAATTGCTTCCTGTTATCCACAAACTTTTTACATGTGTCGTGACTGACTCAGAGACACTAAGAGTAGGAGGCACTCTGTTTATTAATATGGCCTGACAGTAACACTTAGTAACCACAGTTCCCAGTCAGGACAGCTGGTAGACTGCCTGACTGGCGATGCCGAGATAGTGAAGACGGAGATGACGGTGAAGACTCCAGCAGCACGACGGGATCCCACTCCAAACGACAGCCCCGAGGTTCCCTTCCGGGCCTCCTCTTATACCGCCCCCAGCCACACCCCCTTCTGGAACCTACTAGCGGGTTCTTGGTGTGCCCCTTCCGTGACCCTTCCCTAGATCCCTCTCTGGTCTATCACCTGGCATGATGTCAGTCAGGGCCGCTGTAAGCTGCATATCCCCTTCCCTGCCAGCAGCCAGCGCTACGTGACTGATTCTATGTCACTACACATGTAAGTGTAGTCCGTCGGCAAAGTAATCGTATTCCTGCAATTTCTTCAGTTTAACACGTAGGCTTTCACGACCAATATCATCCATTATACAGGGTTTTTAACAATCAATTCCTTGTTTAACACAACAGACTTGTTCCTAAAAAATTGCCGCATTAAGCGAAAACATTTCCCCAACATAAATTATGTAATTATAAACATTGCGAAGATCATGGGTTAAAGCCAGGTATATATTTGGATCTAGGTGTGTAGATTTACAGTGGATTCCGTTAGACTCGGCACAGACCTTAATCACTGCACAACCTAATTAATACTTACTCCAGTAGTCCATGTTTCCATTAGTCACATAGCTCAGCCCAGCAGCCTAAGCAACAGACAGTAAGATTTAAACATAATTCATGAGCGAATCATTTTAAAATGATATTGTATGTCAACCTAGCCTGTGAATGTCACACATTGCAACTGTGTCAGTAATTATTTGCACATAATTCAGAGGAATCAATAAATGTGTTACTGGTATAGCTGGAGATGCAAACATTACCTCAAATATGTTGCTTGTCCACCACCAGTAATAATTATAATCATAGTATTGATATTGATACTGTTGGGAGAGACAACAGGTAAATAACGTTGATCAAAACTAACTCACCATGCATCATTTTATGCAAGGTAAGGAGGTCATCATAGCCAATATAGTTCATGAAACTTCATCTCACCATCACTTCCTTTTGCTAGATCCCGTAGCTTTTACAAAATTGTTGCCTAGACTTCTGAGGTCTGGTTTTATAGCAGTTAACAACAGGGGTGTCAAGTTTTAGCATATAGAGCCATATTGACGAACATGATGAGTGGTGCTCGATGTAGACAGTAAAACAGATAGCAGAGAGATGTGCAAGAGAGGTAGAAGATGGGAATATGTCAGTGGTTACATATAAGAGATAAATGGAGGTTTACTCATGAGAGACATGGGGCAGTAAATGTATTAAAATAGTACTATAAAAAGGGTAGGACATGTATGGAAAAGTGAGATGGTTAATCTTCAAGGTTTTAGTGTTCAAGAATAAATCAGATTAAGCAATCAAGATTACAATAAGGCTCTCAAAACACGACAAGTTAAAGATCATTCAAATATGTATGTTCCAACATTAACAGAAGAAACAGAGAAAATGTATGAATGAAATAAATTACCTTACAATAATGAAGTGAGGGATAAGGGAAGTGAGCATCTACTAGAGTTTATAAACAGGAAAGCCATGAAAATAATGTACACCGTATCCTATAAAATGAACACATAGAAGCCAATATGGTGGGTTTAGGAATGAGATTGACAAGTTTCTAATGGCTGAACCCCAGATTGTCAGAGATGTCTCTGTTGTGAAAAATTTAACACAAAAAGTGATCACAGATTGGTGTGATGTGAGTTGCACTTCAGTATAGCCAGATAAAGGGCATAGCTAAGTTTAGATAAAGCGTGTATATGCCTATGGGATAGAGTGCATTGAAAATGGGTAGAAATATGCTTAGGCAGTTAAGAGATAACATAGTCTTAAACCCAGAATGTTCAAAAGCAAAATGAGGTCAATGGAATTTTTTCCCCATATTTCCACACAGAAATACCCCCCATAACTCATGATAATGATAGAATATTCAAATTAGTGGAAGCATGGTATGAATGTCTCTTTCGCAAAACAAGTCAAATAGCACGAGAACATGACCATCTCTCAGATGAAGCGGAACCAGTTCCAGATTGCACACTTGAACAAGTAAATATGTCATTGTGCATTATGAATAGTGGTATAACTGTGGACATCATCAACGTAGCAGGAATTATTATTGGAAATAAACCTAGCAGACGTGTCCACTAAATTTCCTATTTTATCCAGTTCCTACATTATGCTGCTGCTATCCCCATTCAACATTATGATTAATGTATTCAGTAAATATGAAATGGCTAATACTTTCAATGTAAATGTATTCATGTATCCAGTAAAAATAATTAAATATATTTTAATGTAGCTCATAAACTTCTCCTTGACTGACTTTGCTTTTAATATATATTTTGGTACTTTCTTCATGTAATCTTAGTGTGGCTGTTATATTTTGAAATGTTATTTCTAAATATGTTTTACTTATGTCTTAGTTTGTGAGAGCTTGGATGACTGAATCAATTTCTTCTGAGTCAAAGTATTTTTCATAGTCTACAAAACCCAAGTCCAATTGTAATTACAATTCTCAGATTAGCACGGTTGGCAAATAAGTGTCGTCACACAAAGCATCATGTAAACATACAACGTAGATTGTGGTTAAATAACGTTTCCAGGGGAAAAAAATAACTGGCATCCCCATACAACTTGCCCTTTCTGGCGATAGGTAGAATGCACATTTGTTATCATACAACTGCGGACATTTCGCACTTGAAAATAAATAGTCATCACTTGAATGCATCTACTGTAGAATGAAGAGTGTATGATAACAGTGACCTCCGTATCTCACCAGGAGAGAGGAGAACTGGCTTGGGTAGTCTCTAAATAAATTTGCTGGAACCGCAATGACACCAATAAATGACTGGGGGTCAGAGGCTGTGACTTGCAGGCTCACACTAGTCCCAGGTTGAGCTGTTGTTGTGCTCCACTTCACCTCCACCTGCGAAAGTGACAATTAAGTCAAGTTGTGTCCGCCAGTCAGGACAACACATGACATGTGCTAATCATTCTTGGATTCAAGGCTGGAACCCGAGAGATATGCTCAAAACCAGAATCCGAGGCTGAGTTTGAGACTGAGAGACATGAGGCCAGTCCAAGGCAACGTCTGGAAGCCTTTTAGGTCAAGGCCAGTGTCAAGTTCATCCAAAGCCAGATCCTCTCTGCTAAGGTAAATGTTAAGGCTGGTGTCTCTAAGCCAAGTCCTCAGACCAGAGTCACACCCCCTAGGCCAAGGATGAGACCTGATAAAATGTTCGAGATGATCCCAATGCCAAGGACTGGTCTTAAGGCATCAAGGTTGATGTTAATTATAACCTTGTAAGAATAGGGATTTAATTTATACAAGGCAACAATATCTCAGCAACTCAAATCACCTTAACATCACATCTCACCTCGACATTCCACTTTCTTGCTGCAGTCTAATCAAGGGAATCCACAGTTACAGCTGTTTCTGTCCATCACAAGTTGCATGCAGAACCAGCCAATAAATGGGCATTATTATGCCAATAGGCACATGATGTTGTATATAGTGATTTCCCAATGGGATAATTTATAATTGATCAAATCTGGACAATGATGCTAGTACACGTGGCCTCTTTAAAATAAAGTCACAGGGAAATTAACACCCATTATAAAGCGGTTGGCATGTTTTAATGGATAGTACACCTGCAACGTTCACTATGGCAGCCGCTATGTTTGACTTACAAAGCTCTAAAACAAGGACCAAACTCCCTACCATTCGGCCACGTCTCTCAAGTGAGTATGGCACTTTAGAGAAGCAGTCCAGCATGGTCTAGCCTCACCTTGTTCTCCAAGTCCTGCACCCTCAGCTGTACACTTTCATGGACGATGTAGCCATCGTCTGTTCCATAATATACGATGATGAAGACTACAGGACCCCAGGCACTTGAGGGAGTCAGCGTAAATTGTGGAAAGCGAGCCACACCAGCCTCTAGCACCTGGCCTATTGACACGACCTGTTGAAAAAACAAACCAACACTGCATTGTTAACAAGCGTGGAATTACAAATAGTTATTTTAAAATATTACTTTATTTTAAAGAGATATTATTCAACATGATCCTGTCAGCCATAAATTATAAACAAGGCATTGAGTCTAGCATTAGATAATTACATGGAGTGGTCACTAATTGCACCTTATTAACCAAAACAAGATTATTGTCTAGGTTGGGTTTAAAAACATCAGAATTACTATTTCTTTTTTTAACAAGTACATTTGGTCACATGTGTTTTAAATAGTATAGTGGTGTCAATCTCTGGTTCTGTGCAAAGGCACGTTCTTGGTTCAAGTTCCATTCATCCTATCCATCCCACTGCCCCCCTTACCTCACAACACCTCACTCCCTACTAGGCCTTATGGGCTGTATTTATGGAATATAACAAGAGGGTTTTCCCCTTGCTTTCCTCAACAATTTAGATTTAAAGCTTTCGTGACTGCAGGGATTCATGAGGACGGCTGCTTGCGTTGTGGCCGAAACGTCGTGTGAATTATTTTATTATGTTTTATTTTTAGTATTTTATTACTTCCCTTCTACGTGACTTTACCGAAAGAACCAAGAAGATTCCTCAACAATGTTTAGGGATTCTAGATTTGAAGCTTTCGTGACTGCAAGGATTCACACTCTTAGGTTTTTTCGGTAAAGTCACGTAGGTAAAAAATAAAATTAAAATTAATTAAAGTAATAATAGAAATAAAATAATAAATCACGACGTTTCGGACCAAGGTCATAACTTATTACTGGATGATAGAAAGACCAAAGGGAGCGGAATATTTGAGTATGTCAAGGAATTTTTAGAAGCGTACTGGCAGTCTGTAATGTCTACTGTAGCCTGGTTCTTAAACTGAGTGAGCGTACTGGCAGTCTATAATATAGACTTATTCTTGGTTCTTAATAACCATTGCTACAGTCTACATTATAGACTGCCAGTACACTCACCAAACTTAATAACCAGGCTGCAGTCTACATTATAGACTGCCAGTACACTCACTTCGATAAAAAAAAACCAGGCTACAGTCTACATTAATGGTTATTAGTTTCTTTATTATTTATATTTCTTTTTTTATTTATTTTTCACTTTATTTTTTATTATTTTTCTATCTATAGGATGGCAAGCTACCATTCCTGATTGTTTTGATCTAGAAGAGACCTGATGGCTCGTTGGGACATTCGGTTTACAGGAAAGCCACCCACACGGATGCCTATCTAAAGCCTGACTCCCACCACCATCCAGCCCAGAAGAATTCCCTCATCAAAACACTACACCATAGGGCCCGTTGCATCTCCAACCAGCACCACTTAGCCAGTGAGTTGGAGCACGTACACCAAGCCCTCAGGATGAACGGATACTCGAACCATACCATCCGCAAAGCTGTCACCACAGCCATGCGTGGAGACAACCTTCTGAGGATCCAACCAAAACCATCACTTTACCGTACATAGCAGGGGTTACCAAAAATATTTCCAAAATCTTAAACAAACACATGAACCAGGTTCGTTTCCACACAGTATACAAAATATGTGACTTAATCCCATTTGTAAAGGATGTGATTCCTGACAAGCAATACCCTGGTGTCTACAAACTGAGTTGTGGTTGCGGCAGCAGTTACATTGGAGAAACGAAACGACATGTCTCGGACCGCATTCGTGAACACAAGGCAGATCTGAAACACGGTAGGACCAATACCTCTGCTGTTGCTGATCATTGTTTTAACGCTGTGGGCTCACACGAAATTGATTTTTCCAAGACGGAAGTACTCAGCAAACCTACCGGCTACCTTCAGAGATTTGTTCATGAAGCCATCAAGATATATAAACACAGACACAACTTCAACCGAGAGGATGGGTACAAACTGAGCAATCATTGGAAGGACGTTATTAACCAGGTAAAGTCTTAACTGAATGTGATGTTTCCATCCTACCTGCCTATGTCAGCTGTTATTTCTGACTCTCTGTGTCTCTCTCTCTATGTCTCTCTCTTAGATCTCTCATGCTCACATGTCCTTCGCATTGCACTCTCATGCCTTTGGATTGCACTCTCATGCTCACATGCCCTTTGGATTGCGCCCTTTGGATTGCACCCTTTGGGTTGCACTCATGCCTTTGGATTGCACCACCCTTCGATTTTACATTCACATTAGCATAACCACTTCCATGCCCTCGTTTAGGAGGCCGCTTTTGATTGCACTACTCTTCGATTTCACATTAACATGCTAAGCTCTCACACTAACACAGCCACTTCCGTGCCCTCATCGAGGAGGCCCCTCTCCTATCTTACAGTTACATGCTAATTTCTCACGTTAACATCACTAGCCCCAGCACTTCTTTATGACCCTTGGGCTACACCCATTTCAAACCTTTTAAAACAGTCTGCCTCAGCAGCAGACCATGCTTTCCCACCTGATAACGGACGCTTGTGTTGTGCCCGAAACGTCGTGATTTATTTTATTTTATACATACGTGACTTTACCGAAAGAACCAAAGAGTATACTATTATAGAGTTAGTATAGATACTACTACAGCCAGTACACACTGCTATAGAGTTAGTATCGCTACTGCTACGGCCAGTACACACTGCTATAGAGTTAGTATAGCTAGTACTACGACCAGTACACACTGCTATAGAGTTCGTATAGCTACTACTAAGGCCAGTACACACTGCTATAGAGTTAGTATAGCTACTACTACAGCCAGTACACAAATGCTATAGAGTTAGTATAGCTACTACTACGGCCAGTACACTGCTATAGAGTTAGTATAGCTATTACTACAGCCAGCACGAACTGCTATAGAGTTAGTATTGCTAATACTATGGCCAGTACACACTGCTAAAGAGTTAGCATAGCTACTATTACAGCCAGTACACACTGCTATAGAGTTAGTATAGCTACTACTACGGCCAGTACACTGCTATAGAGTTAGTATAGCTACTACTACAGCCAGCACGTACTGCTATAGAGTTAGTATTGCTAATACTATGGCCAGTACACACTGCTATAGAGTTAGCATAGCTACTACTATGGCCAGTACACACTGCTATAGAGTTAGTATAGCTAATATTACGCACAGTACACACTGCTGTAGAGTTAGTATAGCTACTACTACGCACATTACACACTGCTGTAGAGTTAGTATAGCTACTACTACAGCCAGCACACACTACTATAGACCTAGTATAGCTACTACTACAGCCAGTACACACTGCTATCGAGTTAATTTAGCTACTACTACAGCCAGTACACACTGCTATAGAGTTAGTATAGCTACTACTACAGCCAGTACACACTACTGTAGTGATAGTAGATACTACTACAGCCAGTACATACTACTGTAGTGATATTAGATACTACTACAGCCAGTACATACTACTGTAGGGATAGTAACTACTACAGACAGTACATACTACTGTAGGGATAGTAGCTACTACAGCCAGTGCACTACTGATATAGAGTCGATATATACAATTATAGAGCTAGTAGATATTGCTATAGTGTCAGCAGATACTGCTATAGTCTGCAGATACTACCATAGAGTCAGTAGTTACTGCTATAGAGTTAGTAGATACTACTATAGTGAGTGGATACTACTTTAGAGTCAATAGATACTATAGATTAAGTAGATACTACGATAGTCATTAGATACTACTGTAGAGTCAGTATTTACTACTATAGAGTTGGTTGATACTACTATAAAGTCGGCAGATACTTCTATTAAAGTCGGCAGATACTACTATAGAGTTAGTAGTTACTACTATAGAGTCGGTAGATACTACTGTGGAGTGAGTAGATACTACTATACAGCCTGTAGATACTACTGTAGAGACAGATACTACTGTAGAGACAGATACTACTATAGAGTCACTAGACACTACTCATTCTATTGTATGTAGGGTGTGTACATATATATGCCTACAGGGGGGTAAAAGTATATTTTGAGGGGGGTAGGGGGGAGGTCGACAATTTTCGGAAAACTTTTACATCAACTATTTATCCTTTTTGATTCAGGACTTCTTCAAGCCTCTAAATTGTATTGATGGACAAATGGACAGACAAACGGAATGTTGGGCTTTCACAATAGCTTAGTACTTGTTTATGTATATGTTATGTTTTTAAGACAAGTTTTGAAATATATTTTTCCCCCGGCAACGCCGGGTACTTCCTGCTAGTATTTTCTTACCTATAAAAGGCATGTTTGTCAATCTGTGTGTAGACGAGACTTGCGAAGGATTTGGCTCATGAACCGTGGGGTATAAGTTTTTAAAAGTTCTCAGGTACCACGTGATAAGCCCCGTGGTGAGCCAGCACGATTCTGATTTCGCATCCGTCAACTTTAAAGTAGTTTAATTACCAATTTAGTATTATTTATTTCATTACATCACTGAGCGCGCACCAAAGCACGCATCTGCGCATGCGCGATAAAGCATAGACGTGGTTGCCCCTAGCAATGCACACGCGTTCTTGGAGCGGGGGGGGGATTTTCATTCGCGTTAAAAATGCAACAAAAACACACAAGACTGAGGTACATTCTTTAAAGTGTGATGTTCTCTTCTACCCCCCCCCCACCCCAATGTGTGCAATTAGGGTCGGTAGATACTGATATTATAGCGCTTACGTACTATTACTGTAGAGCGGGTGGGGGGGGGTAGCAGCCCACCCCCAGCCTGCCAAGGTGCCACCTCGGCCACTGGGCAATATAGGCGAGGCTGGGGGCTCTGCACGGGACTAGGCCTCACCACTGCACTGTCAGGTAAGTACTATAATTATTGGTGACGACCGCTTGTGTTGCGATCGAAACGTCGTGATTTGTTTTATTTGATTTTATTTCTAACTACGTGACTTTACCGAAAGAACCAAAGAGTAAAGTCACATAGATAGAAAAATAACTAAAATAACACTCATGGAGGCTGTGGCCTGCTTCTTAATCGGAGAGAGTTTTTACGTTTGGTCAGTGTACTGGTGGT